GTGAATCAGTATTCCATATGTATGGTCTTTTTTTCCTCGGCTTCCTTGTTTTCAGCTTCTCCTTATCTTGTAGAACTTCTTCGAATAACCTTGACGGTGGTTGTTCGGCCTAAAGGTTGTGATTGTCTTAAATGAGCAAAGGGATGAGCATTGACTGGGGATCGTATTTAGTCCTGGAAAGGTAGGCGTTAGAAACTAGAAGATTTTTGGTTTTTCTCTCATTATGGCTTCATCTCGCAGGCTCACACTGACATTTCCGAAGACAAGGCAAATGAAGTCATTTGTCATAGTCCATCCTGAAATGCGGTCGTATACGCTGAAAGGAGTAATTTTGATTGTGCCCATAACCTTAGATGAGTAATGGTTGTGTCAGGAAGTAGTACGTGGCATTCCTAGAGAAGCAGCAATATTGGTCCCGGAGCAAGATTCAAGCGGGCAAAAGCTATTTTTCGTGCGGATGAAGCGGCGTGTCAGGTGTGAGGGTTTTGGCGCGGCGCCAAACCCGTTTACTGCCACTTACTGAATTGAGCAAACAAAAATGCTGTATCGTATCGCTCGATCACCGTTTTTCAACATTTATTGTCGCTTTTCTGCTTCAGCAGCTGGTGGAGAAGGGTTTGGCACCGCGCCAAAGTCATCTCGCCGGACACGCCCCTTCATCCGCAGCGAACCAGAACGTGGTTTCTCTGTTGGCTAAAGCGCCTAGAATACTACTGCTGGCACGGCTTGTTATTGACTATTGTTATGTTTTGCGCGTGCTCCCCCACACTCCTCCCCCGCCTTAGCTGAGTTCCAGCAAACGAGCCATGAAACTCACCCAGTGAACCCAGTCAATAGAAACAAATAATGCAGTGAGCAAATGAAGAGGAACAGATAATTTTAATTGTGTTGGCTTGACATTCCACGTCTTTGTTGTCTGGTTCCCTAAATTTGACGCCCGCTAAACTTCCGTCCCTTTTTTCTTCTTTCTTCCTCCCTTTCCTTCTTTTCCCCTCACACATTTTCCTCTCTTTGACGGCTCAGCCGATGACGCGACGAGAGTAAGCCTTTGCTTGAGAAACGGCTTACACTCGTTGAATAAGCCTCTATGACCGAAACGCACAAGTTCTTTATTGTTCGTTAATGCTTCTCCGTTGGAAAAGTAATCTCTTGTATTTCAAGTATGGCCTTTTCAGGTCACTATCAACTTGACCCAGCTTGTCCTTCAACATGAGTGCCGTGAGTTTTAATGCAATAGTTTATTGCTTGGAATGTCCAGAATGGGTCCTTTTACTGCCACTGCTAGGGTTTCCAGATTAAAATGAAGGTACGCAAGTGTCCGACGGACGAACTGGCCGTCACCAATACAGCTGTCGTGAACAAGGAGGATTTCGACGCTAATGGTGTGAAGTAAGCACAGTTTTCAGTTTTTTTTTCTTTCGACTCCATTTACCTGTTTCATATTTGTTTCCGCTTCTTTTTCCTTTTTCTCTCTTTCTTCTCAGTTATTGGACACTGCGTATCTGGATGTTGCATAACACCAAAGCTGCTCCTGCGAAGTTCTTTTTTCTCGAACTGAGAGTGCTCTCATACTCTGCGTCAGGCAGCGTTTTCAGCGACTGCCCGTGGTGAACGCTGGGTCCATAACATAACCCTTTTATTATCTCAAAACTTTGCCGCACTATCGAAACGCAAGCAACGCTGCTGTACGCTCAAAACGCTGACGCAAAGTATGAACTCACGTTAACTGATGAATTCAAATAAATTCAACAAAGCTTCTTAGATTTCCAAATATATCGGTGCCCAGCGTTTTGAGCCCCAGGGCAGCTCAATGTAAAGAAGTACTTATCTGTGAATGGGTTTGTAGTGAATCTTGTCCCTGAAGAGTCAAAGAGTAACCAAAATGCTCTCGTAAGAAGTACGATTGACTCTTCATGAGGCTCTTCGTTACTTTTTCGCCACCATTAACACATTTAAAAGGAATATTTTTCGCTTTTTCATGGTGCGGTTAACGTTTTCTTCTAGTGCTTTATTGCCTTCGTTATTATCCACAATTCGCTTAAATGCTTGTTGAGCAATAGTCGTTTTTTATACTTGTGCCGGGGAAGTCAACCGCTCGACAGATATTGACTTTCAATACAACTCGGATGTGCCACTCTAATCTCCGTAAATGACAGACTTCCTCAGTGACGCATCGATTTGGTTGCATGAAAGATGTTGGTCCCATGAGACGTTACAAATTGCAGGGGTGTGTTTATCCAATAAGAGCATGTCTCGGAAAATCGAATTCTGGTGTCTGGAAGAGAAATGAGCATTTCCGGGGACAGTCACCCACGTAGAAAATTGAGGAAAATTGCGTGAGAACAAAAAATGGCCCCACGTCCCTATAATGAAGAGGAGATAGTGTAGAAATTAAGCCTCGTGTGCGGCATCATTGGGTTGAATTTTTCATGTTATGAGCCTTTTAATTAGAATTTGGTGGCAATCGCATTAGTTATGCGTCTCATTGATGCTCTTTCTTTTTTGTTGGGAATCTCGTAATTACAATCTTGTTATTTGCTGTGATGGAGGTGCAAGGGGAATAGGTTTGGCGAGGATCCAGCCCATTTATTTTCTTTTCTTCCTTTCGTCAAGCGACAAGAGTGTATCGTGTCGTTGGTAGTAAACGTTTTCTACCAATTGTTGTCGCTTATCCGCTTCAACAACTGGTGGAGAACGTGTTCATGGCGCGCCACACCCAGCCTCACTGACACGCCCCATCATTCGCAGCGAACAAGACTGTACTTGAAGAAAAGTATTTCCAGCAAAACCATGGGTTTTCATTCAGTTTGACTGCATCAAATGCGAGAACTTAAGGGTCTTTCTGTATAAAATTGGAAATTTTGGCGCAATCTGGCCTAGGGAGAGGAATTTCGTAGATTCCCGTGTGAAGCTACGACCCATCAAGGCTCGTTTGTCCTGAACTTATGCAAAACATCTCGTTCTTGCCCACGAACGTTTCTACCTAACTTCTTGCCCTATGAGGCTGTGTTTATACTTCGAGCTGTTCAGTCGCGTAATTGGAAGTGGCGACTGCTACTGACCGCGCTCCAACGCTATTTGTTGGGCAGCTGCAAATTTCAAGAGCGCGTTCATACTTCGCAATCCGATAGCCGGAATTGCTCAAGAATTTGGATCGTGCGACCTTAACCGGAGGTGCTCCATTTTGGATTCCTGCGCACTCCACCGACCGGCGGTGGAGCGCCTCCCCCCTATGGTGGTCGCGCGATTCAATCGCATGAGCGATCCGATGACACGATTCAAGCGATTGGACCGCGAAGTATAGACGCCTTTTCATTAACCCACACTCAGGATATATTTATTTTTGAAGATTGCAGCAGTCCGACATTAGCGGTAGAGTGCAGTTGTTTGCAATCGCGCGACTGACTCGTTTCAGTCGCGAAGTATAGGCGGTCAATGCAAGGGGAAAATAAAGAAATGCTCTCACACAATCTCATTGCTTCGCAAGAGTTGACAGTTCTTCACAAAATGACCAGACATGCTGACAGGAGTTGGTTGACACCCCTCCCGAGCCGAAGTGCCTTTGAACAACTCCTTATAACTCAGCTCTCTCTCTCTCTCTCTCTCTCTCTCTCTCTCTCTCGTTATCTTTATCTGCTCCTAGTTGTTTCATTAGTATCCACTTTCTTCTATTAAATAAGCAAATTAGATGTTTGGACTTCGCATTCAGCAAGTCACTCTTTGGAAAGGGTATGTTTTGGGAAGCAAAGTCAGTGTCCAAACAGATTTTAGTAATGAGTGAGGGGAAGGAAAAAGCGTTTTTTGGTTCATCAAGGCGCCAGAGGCTCGATATAGATTCGTGTGTCATTTCATTAGTCTCTGTTGCTTTTGATTTTCATTTGTCTATCCTTGCTCCTAGGCATGGCAGTTTTGTTCGCAGCGGATGAAGGGGCGTGTCGAGCGGGTTGAGTTTGGCACGGCGCCAAACCCATGCTCCTTGAAGCGGGAGCAAAAAGAGTCGCTGGAAAACGGCTCAAAAAACCAGCTGCTCTTTACCCCAACAAATGAAGGAAAACGAGCTTCGTTGTCCCTGTCGTACTGAAGAGCGTGGGGGTTGGTGAGACAACGAGTATCCGCCTATGGCGAAACGGACCATCTGTGCTTTGGAGTGTATCCTTTTCCACGATATTGTTTTTCTTTGTTCCTAACTTGCGTCGCGCAAGACCCAGCCCACCTGGCACGCTTTTTCATCCGGAAATAACAGGACTCTAGCAGACATAGGGTAATAGCCCTTTGCCGAGGGAGTGTTCTTACTGTATTTACTGTATTCCCATGTTTCAGGCATGTTCAAATGCAAACTGGCCCAGGACACCGCTACGTTTTCACCATTCGTAACCACCCGTCGATGAAGAGTAAAGAAATCGCCTTTGCAATTGCTCAGCGAAAATGGGCTGTTCTTAGTTTGGACCAAGAAGTACTAGTGGCACCTTTTTCATTCAAGGTACAAATCCCACTCAATTAAGCGGTTATTCATGAGTTGTTATCAACCTTTTAAGAGCAATCAGTACATCGGATCCATAACCCTGTCAGCGGACTTTCAACTGAAGAAGAAGTAAGTCTTGGATGTAATCATCTATTTAGGCACAGTTGCTCTTTAATTCCTTAGGCTTTGGAAAGTTATCAAAAAAGCATGTCTGACGGGAGCTTAGCCCCATGAACGTTGTTGATATCGTCGCATTAAGTCGAAGCGAAGTCAGCATGGGCAAATCGAGACCTGCTGGTGGGCTCTTTCCGTGCCTTTTGACATCGCATCGGCGGATTGCGACGTTTCAACTATATCTCATTCGCCTGAGGTGAACATGGGTAGCAAGTGCGCCATGCCCACCCCCCCCCCCAACCTGGACTCTTGGGCCGGCGCTTTTGGAGCTGGTGCCATGCGATGCCATCATGACAGGCGATTGTGACATTCCTTTTCAGTTGGGCAATCTATCCCCAAGGCTAAGATTGTCGTTAGAACACGCTTGTGCTCGGAGAAATAATCAATAAAAGTGTGGCAGTAAAGAGTAAATTGTGCCATTCGTTCTAGATGTCTTACCTTTTACTTATTGTCGTCTTTTCAGTGCTACTTCTGAGCCGTTGAATTCCGATTTCATGGCGCGTGAATTTTCTATGCAATTTGGTGGTATGGCATTTGCTAAGGGTCAATTACTCGTCTTCCAATTCAATGACACCCGAAAAGGGCAAGACCTTCACGTTATCCCTCGTCGTGAAAAACATTGAAGGTTTGTGCTATATAAACTGTTTGGAGATATTTTTGTTGGTTGCGTTGTTATTACTTACAGTTTAGGAATCGACCTCAGT